AGGACAGCGAAGCCTGGAGCATTGCGGTCCATGGGGTTGCAAAGAGTCAGACACAACTTAGCAATGAAATAAGAACAACAATTATGAGGTATAAAAATTGCATTTATTAATGTAACTACCAAGCACATCAGAACATTTCTTCACTGTTGGAAAGCTGTCAACCTCATGCTGGCAGATACAGTTTTCCAAAATTTCTAGTTTTCTCTTGTTAAGTTCAAATTTTATCATTGGCAACAAGAACGCATCATTTGTTTTCCTTGATGAGACAGGTTCACTTTATTTATATTTAAGAAAATGTCTGCCAAATACCCAAGTCTCTGAAAAACTGTAGTTTGCCAGTCATTTTTTCAAGTGATAACGGTAATATGAAAAACAGCTCAGCTCACAACTCAAACAATGGGACAATGGTCTTTTTCTGAAGACAACCACTGCATTCCAGTTTGCAGCAGCGATGTTTCCAATGTACTTCCCATTCTGATACACAGATTATTAAAAAGACGTGTAGGAACTTCTCTGGCGGTCCTGTGGCTAAGACTCGGTGCTCCCAGTGCTGAGGGTCCAGATTCGATTCTTGGTGGGGAACTGGGTCCCACATGCTGCAACTAAAAATCCCACATGCCTCAACTAAAGATTCCAAATGATGGAACTAAAGATCAAAGACCTGGCATGCCACAGCTAAGATTCAGGGCAGCCAAAAAAGAAAAATATTAAAAAATTTTAAGAAATAGAAAAATTAAAATAAAAAGAAGTGTACTTAAGATTTAATAAAATAATTTCCTTTCTTTATCAAGGACATTTAAAAGTGAAATTGGCTTTTTTTTTTTTTACATGGAATTCATGGCTGTGAAGAATACGACACCTGTGACAGTTTGGTGTCTCTGCCTTGATTGGTGCTAAGGAATCAGCAGTTTTAGTCACCCTTTTGTACCATTAGCACAAATGTCAACACAGTGAAAAAGACACATAATGTCTTGGTATTATTATGATGATCGCTTTGACCTCATCGATCCCCTGAAAGCTCTCTCTCTTCCCTCATTTACATGGACCACTCTTTGTGGGTTATTATTCTGTACCTTTGGGATAAGATGGCAGGATAGGTCACCTTTAGGAGTGGGAAAGTTCCCAGCTGTGTAGAAGCTAGCAATTTGCTGCTGAGGAAGCAACTTATGTATGTGTGAAGCTGATTCACTTCACTGAACACCTGAAACTAACACAGCATTGTGAATCAACTGTATTCTGGTAGAAATGTAAAGAATTATGTAATCAAATCAACTATGTAATTCACAGTTTCACTGGAGGGTGAGATTTTGTTTTTAAAAGGAATCACAATGATGTATTTGAATAATGGAACCTACATTTATTCAGCTAACATAGACAAACCACCACCATACTAAATGGAGCAAAGAACAAAAACTTTCTCAATCAACAAAATTCCAGTTACAACCACTGATTTCTTTAAATTCACCTGGAAGTATCCCTAGACATCCTCAAGTGTTTCCAGTGCTCTGGGGCTCTTTAAAGGGTGGGTGTAATTAACAAGGCTAATTATTACCCATTCCTTTAAACTTTTTTAAAAAATTTAGTTATTTTTTATTTTTGGCTGTGCTGGATGTTCGTTTCTGCGTGGGTTTTTCTCTAGTTTCAGAGAGCAGAGGATACTCTAGTTGTGGTGTGCAGGCTTCTCATTGCTGTGGCTTCTTTTGTTGCAGAGCACGGGCTCTAGATCACAAGCTCAATAATTGAGGTGCATGGGCTTAGCTTCTCCACGGCAAAGGGGATCTTCCCAGACCAGGGATCTCCTGCATTGGCAGGTGGATTCTTTACCACTGAGCCATCAGGGGAGCCCCCTCTTCTTTTATTTGTTGGTTCATGGTGCTGGGAATAGAGCAGAATAGACAAAGTCCTTGATCTCGTTTTGCTCACAGTTAAGTGGGAGAGGGTGAAGCAATCATACAAACAAGAATATGATGACAATCGAGCTAAGATTTAAGAAGTACAGGGAGTTTTGAGATGGGACCTGACCTGACCTGCAGCTCACCGAAAAACTCCCCGAAGGAGTGAAATGAAACTAAGGTCTGAAGCATGAGTTGGAGCTGGCCAGGTGGAAGTATATGTGAATCCGTAAGAGTGTTCCAGACAGGGGCCTGGATGTGCATGGGGCCAGCTCAGGCAGGAGAGTCCTGGGTGGGCTTGAAGACCCACCTGGGAAGCCCATTTTGGCTGGAGCCCGGTGAGAAAGTGGCACGAGATGAAGGTGGAGTGGCAGCCGGACATCAGGGCAAGGGTCATCGGATGGCCATTTTTTTCAGTCCCTGAAACTCTTTCCTGCCCTAGTCCTAGACCCACACAGATCCCTCTTCCTGGAGCGCTCTTCCTCGGCTCCTCTTTCAGACCTTAACAGAAATGTCACTTTCTTTCAAAGTAGATCTCTTTTTTCTTCATATCAACACCCCATTTTCTTTGTATAGCAACCAAGTTTGTTTACATTGCCTTTGTCTCCCCTGTGAGACTGTAAGTTCCCTGAGGGCATGGTCCTATCTGTCTAGTTCACCCTGCCTCTCCTATGTTTAGCAGTGAGCCTGACATGAAGTTGGAGCTCAGAAATATTTGTTGGATAAATGTATGAATGAACCAGATTTGAGATTCTGGCTCCTTTCCATAATGCTGTGTGACCCTGGTCAAGTCACATGACCACACTATACTCTGTAAAATGGGGATTTTACTTCCCATCTCAAAGGGATTTTGTGAGACTCAAAGGAAATAGTGCCTGTGGAAGCACCGAGCAGAATACCTGGCTTCAAAAGAGGTTCTCCTAAGTGTTTGGGGTTGTTTTTTTTTTTTGGCAGCATGCAGGATCCTACTTCCCTGACCAGGGATTGAACCTGTGCCCCCTGCATTTGGGAGCATGGAGTCCCAACAACTGGATTGCCAGGGAAGTCCGCTCCTAAGTGTTGTCTTCCTTGCTTCTCGCTGTTAGCTCCCTACTTTTTTCTCTGGACTGTGATACGTGATGAGCTTCGGGCCTTGCTTAATCCCAACTGAGTCTCTTGACATCCCATCCCTTCAGCTGCAACACAAACATCAGAGGTGCTTCCAGGCTTATGTGATGGCACCACAGCAGGAGGAACAAGAGTAGAGGGGAGGAAATACTGGTTTTGATGGAGAGTGCATGAGAGTGATGAACTGTTGAAAATGGACCAGACTTTGATTAGTGTGATTATGGCTAGCTTTAATCTTCTTTAATATACAGTTGAATCTTGAACAACTCAGGAGCTAAGGGAGGCAACTCTCCACGCAATTGAAAATCTGCTTATAATTTTAATTGGCCCTCCCTCTATGGGGTTCCATATCTGTGGACTCAAACAACCTTGGATTGTGTGGTATTGTAGTATGTATTTAATTTTTTAAAAAATCCATGTATAAGTGGATGCACACAGTTCAAACCTGTGTTGTCCAAGGATCAACCATGCTTAAAAAAAAAAACTTTTTATTTCTAAATGATTTTAGGCCTTTAAAAAGGTTGCAAAATAGTACAAAGAGCTCATGTATGGACTTCACCCAACATTCTCAATTCATAAACTACAGTACAGTGATCAAAACCAGGACATGAACATGGATACTGAGTTATCTAAATTATAGACCTTATTTGAACTTCACCGGTTTTTCCTCTAATGACTTTTCCCCCAGATACCAACCCAGGATCCCATGTCTCACTTAGTTGTCCTATGCTCCTTAGTATCCTCTGATCTATGATAACTCAGTCTTTCCTTGTCTTTTATGACCTTATTTATTTATTTGGCTGCACTGGGTCTTAGCTGTGGTGTGTGGGATCTAGTTCCCTGACCAAGGTTGAAACCCAGGCCCCCTACAATGGAAGTGTGGCATCTTGGCCACTGAACCACCAGGGAAGTCTCAACCTTGACACTTTTGATCATTTATTTTGTGGAATGTCACTCAATTTAAGTTTGTCTGATGTTTTCTCATGACTAAATTGAGATTCTGCATTTTTGACAAAAATACCACTGAAGTAATGTGTGCTTCTCAGTACATCATACCAGGTGTACTTGATGTTGCTATGTTTTACTAACAATGATGCTACTCTTGATTGCTTGGTTAAAGCAATGTCTTTTGGGTTTCTCCACTATACTTTTATTTTAAAATTATATTTAAAAATTTAAAATTACTAAAGTACAACCTGCTCCTAAAAAGTTCAAACAAACAAAAAGTATAAAGTAAATATCCTTCCTACCACCTCTACCTCACCTTCCTAGAAGTTACTTACTTGTCAACACTTTGAGGTATATCATTCTAGACCATTTTCTATATCATAGACACATATATAATGAGTTCATACCAATTTCTTTTGTTTTGTTTTACTTAATAATATTATCCAGGGACAACTTCCCATGTCAGTACAATTAGATCTAACTCGTTCTTTCTAATAAATAGCTGCTATTTCATTCTCTGGGTGACCCTAATTTACACTTTTGTATTTTCCAGATTTTGTATGAGCATGTAAATTATTTTTTTAACATAGAACTTTATCATCAAAATTTCTATTTCAAATTTCATCAATACAAAAATATTCAAATTTTGTCAGAAAATTAAAATCATTATAATTTAAATTAATATTTTAAATTTTATGTATTTCACCACCAGGAATAGATTACCTAAAACTTTAAGTCAAAATGAGGTTAAGAATAAAAAGATATGTTTTAAAATGAAACAAGAGAAAAGAAACTCCACTGCCACTGATTTTATTGAATCTCAGAGGCCCTTCATTTTAAAAACACACCATTATTTTAGGTAGGAAGAAAAAAGATTGTCAATTAATTGGAAAATGCCATCAATTTTAGAGTTTTTAAAATGTGCAAAACAGGAGTCTTAAAACAGAGTAGACGAGAGAGTACCATGTTGGCCCTTCATTAACCAGAATCCCTATGTGGTCTTTCAGGAACAGGCAGGATCCTATGACCAGCAGCCACTTCCAGCCCATAGCCATGGAGCCAAATAATTCCTTTCGTGTGGACTCCGAGTTCCGATACACCCTCTTCCCAATTTTTTACAGCATCGTCTTTGTGCTGGGGGTCATTGCTAACAGCTATGTGCTGTGGGTCTTTGCCAACTTGTACCCTTCCAAGAAATTCAACGAGATAAAGATCTTCATGGTGAACCTCACCATGGCTGACCTGCTCTTCCTGGTCACCCTGCCCTTGTGGATTGTCTACTACTACAACCATGGAGACTGGATTCTTCCCAAATTCCTGTGCAACGTGGCTGGCTGCTTCTTCTTCATTAACACCTACTGCTCAGTGGCCTTCCTGGCTGTCATCACTTACAACCGCTTCCAGGCAGTGACAAGGCCCATCAAGACTGCTCAGGCTACCACCCGCAAGCGGGGCATCCTTCTGTCCCTGATTATCTGGGTGTCCATTGTGGGCGCAGCATCCTACTTCTTCGTCCTGGACTCGACCAACAAGGAGCGCAGCAAGAGCGGCTCGGGCAACATCACACGCTGCTTTGAACATTACGAGAAGGGCAGCATCCCAGTCCTCATCATCCACATCTTCCTCGTGTTCAGCTTCTTCCTCGTCTTTCTCATCATCCTCTTTTGCAACCTGGTCATCATCCGCACGCTGCTCACGCAGCGGGTGCAGATGCAGCGCAATGCCGAGGTCAAGCGCCGGGCGCTCTGGATGGTCTGCACGGTCCTGGCTGTGTTCATCATCTGCTTCGTGCCCCACCACCTCGTGCAGCTGCCCTGGACCCTGGCCGAGCTGGGCTTCCAGGACACCGACTTCCACCAGGCGATTAACGATGCGCATCAGGTCACTCTCTGCCTCCTTAGTACCAACTGCGTCTTAGACCCCATTATCTACTGTTTCCTCACCAAGAAGTTCCGCAAGCACCTCACGGAGAAGTTCTACAGTATGCGCGAGAGCCGGAAGTGCTCCCGGGCCACCTCGGAGACGGGCACGGAAGTGGTCCTGCAGCTCAAAGATGGCCCTGTCAAATCCCTCAAAAATTAGTCTAACTGTTGGAGCCAGGCCCGGAGGCTTCTTCTCCACGGACATCATCGACTGACCTGAGGGGGGGCGGGGAGGGAAGGGGTGTCTGCTGTGGTCCTGGCACCTCCTCCCTGGGCACTGGTGGCTGGTTAGGTATGGAGGCTGCCTCACCAAGGTGGGGTGCTGGCAGAACCAGACCGCTGGGAAATTCCGAACTTGAACGAGCCCCTTCTGCCACCTTTGGACGCATGCCATATAACCTTGGCTGGCAGAGTCATCCCAGTCTGATGGCTCTGGAAGGGATGTCAGGACCAGGGGGCAGTCCCTGTGAGCAGACTCTGAGTCACCCAGTTCACCCTACCAGGGCGGCAGTCCCAAATGAGTCAGGCCTACAGTTTTGGACCACCACTCTCATCACTGAAAAGGCAGAGAAGGGGTTTGGGGAAAGGGGTGCTCCCCTGGCTATGGCACTGTCTTTGGAATCGACTTCTGAGCTAGGAAGATCCCACCCAGTCTCCACTCACAGGCACAAGGTCTTTGCGACACTTCCTAGGGGAGTGTCCCAGGTGGAAGGGGAGCCACTTCCACCTGGCTTGGTGGAACATTTTCCTAATTCATGTATAAACCTCTACTGAGTGGTGACCAGAGAAGATACAACATGCATGGGCCAAAAACGAGGACAGGGAGCCTTTCTCCTGAATCAGATGAGTCTCTTCCACCAGACTGGGGCAGCTCTGGGGCGGCAGGAGAAACACAACCGCCACTTCCACTGTCTGTCTCAACAAGGAACTCTGAGAAAGTAACTCCTGTGAGGCAGCCACCCACTGTGGGTGGGCAAGCCCTGTCAAAGCCAAATTGGGGCCCTCCAGGCCACTGTGATGCCCAGAGGCTTCCATGGGAGACGACACTCAGGCTGAGAAGTGCCTGTGGGTGAGTGAGGCCTCCAGGGTGGAAGGAGCCTGTCATCTCCCCTCCCTGCCTCACTTTCTGGCATGCCCCTCTGATTTAGCTCCCAGGAGGTGAGGGGAGCACCTATAATCCCTAGGGCAGGCAGGCACTTTGAACTCTGGGTGCAGAAGAGAAGGGGAAACTGCTCTTGAGGAGCTTTGGATGTCTGATCCTCCTCTCGCTCCCTGAGCACCTGCGGTGTGAACCTGGCAGCCTCAGACTCAGGGGCTTGGAGGAGCCTGCCCCGATTTCCAGAAACCTTCCTCCCTTCCAGCCAGTGTCCCTGCAAGGCTGGGATCCTGGTTTCCGGCACACTGGGCTGATTCTGATAAATGCCTATCAATGGGCCAGTGACCTGCTTGGTCCGGTCGCCATGGGCTGGGCTTAGCAGAGGTGACCGTGTGCACAGTGCAGTGGATTTGAACTTCGGTGTCACACAGACGCCGGTTCAAGCTGCAGCTGTGGCACTTCCTGCCAAAGGACTGTGAGCTGCATTTCCTACCTCAAAGTTGTTAGGAGGGTCAGATACCTCTTGGTCAGGGTTACTGCTCCTCCCAGAGCCTCTCTGTTTTTGAGATTTTGTTCCCCCTAAATCTTCCAATAGGGGATGAGAGGTGAATGTCTGGCTCTTGTGGGGTCAGACAGGTTCTCCCTTGGGAATAAGCAGCAAAATTCAGGGATGCTCTTTCAGGTTCTGCAGGCCACTCACCTGAATGCATAGAAACTCTGGAGCTGTGAGTGTGTGTGTGTGTGCTCACATATGTGAGGTGTGTGTGTGCCATCAGCACAGCAGGGTGGGGAAGGTATCTGCATGAACGTAGTAGAGATAATGGCTTTGCTCAGAAAAAGAGAAAGACATGAGATGTGCAGAGAAAAAAAGAAGAGAGATGTGCAGAGTCAAGTTGAGACCAGAGGGGACCGCAGAGGCCTGGAGAGAAGAGGGGATGATGCGCCCAGGGGCCTGCTGGCTCCCCCCCTCCACATCCAGCCCTCTTGCCCAGCCCTTCTCTAAGCTCAAATCTGTGCTACTTCCTTTGGGTCCTTGTGAGATTCCCTTGTTAGGATACACTCTCCTATTTTGCTCAAGTTCATTTGAATGAGTAATAATATCGATTACTTTGCAACCAAGAGAGCTCTGAAGGAGATAAATACTTGTATGCTAAAGCAGTGTTTTTTGAATTTCAGCCATTTGTGTACCCATATCGTGAATTTCGCAAGATCCATGTACCATCTGTATGTTTTGGTCAATAAATATTTTTCTCTAGATTGAGTCACTTTTTAAAACTTACACTTATTTAAAAGGTTGCTTTAGAACTAAACTGTAAATGAAGGTGAATGCCACCTGGCACACATAGAGGGTAAACATAAACATAAAATTAAAATTAAAATGTTCTTGGCATCCTATTTACAGTCACCTCACATGCCCCACAACTTGCACAACACACTTTAGGAGATGTGGCTGTGATGTGTATAAAGCGCACAGGGGTCTGTATTTGCTAAGTGCTCAATAAAGAGACAAATGTTTCTGAGGTGATAGCTTGTGATTGCCCCCTTGCTTCTTACAGAAAGTTGCCCAAGCTCACTCCCACCAAGGCTCAGGAGAGTGGTGGAGTATTTTAGGTTGTAGCTCATGCTATGACTCATGCATTATCTCATACTCTGAACACAACCACCTTCCCCCACCGACCCCCCCCGTGACCTCTGCCTGGTTGTGACCGTCTCAGGTGCTTTCTCTCTTTTTGACCTAGCCTAGAACACCTCCTCCAGGCAGACTTCCTGAATTCCTCCAGATGAGTTAATTGACCTAGTAGCACTTTAGGTCTAAGAGGGTGCAATTTTTTTATACCTTAATAAGTATTGAAGTTTATCCATTTTAATGTATTCTATCCTACCCTGGGGGCAGAAACTGAATCTCTTTTTTTTTTTAAAGATTGAAGTATAGTTGAAGGAATTGAAGCTTAATCATCAGTGTATCTACATTTCTCACTTGAGACTAGAATGAGCTCTGTCTAAAAAGCATCCTGCTTCCCCAGGGTGTAACATGAACACACACTGAAACATACATGCACTTTTTTTTTTTTCATACATGCACTTATTGTGAGAGAGTTTAAGAAGCCTCTCTAGGGACACCTAAGAAAGGAATTTAATGTATATTTCCCCAAAGTTCTATTAATATATCTATATTTTTAAAAAGATGTCAAGGATTTTCAGAAAATCAGAATTTTTGGAAAAAGGAGGGTCCAATTCCTTCATCTTACAGAGAGGAACATGGGGCTCAGAGGGGCTACGTGACTGTAGAAATTACCTAGTGTGGAATGCATTTCTTGCAATGGTACAGGGTTGTGGAAAAAGCTGAGTTGTAATTCTTTCAATGAAATATCACCAATCAGGATTTTCAAGCCATGTTGCACATCAAGAAGTCCTCACCCTGCATTTTCCCCTCATCTCAGTCTTGACCCCAGGGAATTACCAGCAATCTCAGAGAACATTGGCTCAGGGAAGACCTGGCCCCTTACCTCATCCAGATGAGTCATAGAACTAGAGTAGTAATGGCAGCTCACAGCCGGCTAGAACTGGGCACAGCTGTGCCTATTTCTGCTCATCTCTGTTATGTCTGTGCTTAAGACCTGAGGCCACAAGAAGATATAATAAAACTCTCTTGTAAAACACTTGTTTTTTGAAGACTTTTATATTTCTGTAATACAAATCATGATTCCCCTGACATATATATTTCAGTTCAGTTGCTCAGTCGTGTCCAACTCTTTGAGACCCCATGGACTGCAGCATCCCAGGCTTTCCTGTCCATCACCAACTCCCAAAGCTTGCTCAAATTCATGTCCATGGAGTCAGTGATGCCATCCAGTCATCTCATCCTCTGTCGTCCCCTTCTCCTCCTGCCTTCAATCTTTCCCAGCATCAGGGTCTTTTCAAATGAGTCAGCTCTTCACATGAGGTGGCCAAAGTATTAGAGTTTCAGCTTCAGCATCAGTCCTTCCAATGAATATTCAGGACTGATTTCCTTTAGGAAGGACTGGTTGGATCTTCTACAGTCCAAGGGACTCTCAAGAGGCTTCTCCAACGCCACAGTTCAAAAGAATCAATTCTTCGGTGCTCAGCTTTCTTTAGAGTTCAACTCTCACGCGCACACATGACTAGTAGAAAAACCATAGCTTTGACTAGATGGGCTTTTGTTGGCAAAGTAATGTCTCTGTTTTTTAATATGCTATCTTGGTTGGTCATAGCTTTTCTTCCAAGGAGCAGGTGTCTTAATTTCATGGCTGCAGTCACCATCTACAGTGATTTTGGAGGCCAAGAAAATAAAGCCTGTCACTGTTTCCCCATCTATTTGCCATGAAGTGATAGGACCAGATGCCATGATCTTAGTTTTCTGAATGTTGAGTTTTAAGCCAACGTTTTCACTCTCCTCTTTCACTTTCATCAAGAGACTCTTTAGTTCTTCTTCACTTTCTGCCATAAGGGTGGTGTCCTCTGCATATCTGAGGTTATTGATATTTCTCCCGGCAATCTTGATTCCAGCTTGTGCTTCATCCAACCCAGCATTTCGCATGATGTGCTCTGCATATAAGTTAAATAAGCAGGGTGACAATATACAGCCTTGACGTACTCCTTTCCCAATTTGGAACCAGTCTGTTGTTTCATGTCCCGTTCTAACTGTTGCTTCTTGACCTGCATACAGATTTCTCAAGAGGCAGGTCAGGTGGTCTGGTATTCCCATCTCTTTCAGAATTTTCCACAGTTTGTTGTGATCCACACAGTCAAATACTTTTAGTCAATGAAGCAGAAGTAGATGTTTTTCTGGAATTCTCTTGCTTTTTCTATGATCCAATGGATGTTGGCAATTTGATCTCTGGTTCCTCTGCCTTTTCTAAATTCATCTTGAACATCTTGAACATCTGGAAGTTCACAGTTCACATACTGTTGAGGCCTGGCTTGGAGAATTTTGAGCGTTACTTTGCCAGCGTGTGAGATGAGTGCAATTGTGCGGTAGTTGGAACAGTCTTTGGCATTGCCATTCTTTGAGACTGGAATGAAAACTGACCTTTTCCAGTCCTGTGGCCACTGCTGAGTTTTCCAAATTTGCTGGCATATTGAATGCAGCACTTTCACCGCATCATCTTTTAGGATTTGAAATAGCTCAACTGAAATTCCATCACCTCCACTAGCTTTGTTCACAGTGTTGCTTCCTAAGACCCCTGACATATTACCAGTAAACTGTCCCCCACCTACCCAGTCATCTGTCCATTTGTCCATCCATCCATCTACTTATACATATCTCCATTCACCCATCCATATAGGTAACCAACAAACACCTATGGAGTACCTATTTTGGTCCCGTAGCTATGCTAAGCAGTTTTTAACCTAACATCTCACTATAGCTTCATACCCTCCTTGAAAGGTAGGTGATTCAATTTAATCCCCATAGAAGTGAACAAAATAAATAAATATCCAAGCTGACTGAACAAGACAGTGGATGCCTCCCAACTACTTGCCACAAAAGGAAGGGGCCTACCTTTTTGTGAGCCCCAGATACTTGCTTGCCACTTTCACAGATCTTATCTCACTGATCCCTCACAACCACTGTATAGATTTATTTCCATGTACATTTTCTAGATGGGGAGATTGAGACTCAGAGGGCTTCAGGGGTGTGTAAGTGTACCTGAGCTAC